CCAGGGCCCCCCTTCTCAAGGTGGGAGCAGAGAAGCCTGCACTGGAAGCTTCATGCTAGCAGGTTCTGGGCCCCAGAGGATGCAGGGAGCAGAGCCGGGCCTGAGACTGTGTGGCAAGCCCCTCACAGCTCTGTGTCCCTGGAAGGCTGCCCAGGGCCACTGGGAGGCCTGAGTCCTAATCCTGCCTCGGTTTCCTCATCTGTAAAGTGGGGTGACCGTAGTGGCCCTTCCAGGGCTGATTCTGTGGGGCTCAGAGTAGGGCCCGGGGCTGGGCTTGGTGCTTTCTGAGCACCCACCTCTGTGTGTGGGAGCCTCCTCCCAGGGCCTCGTGCTGGGGAAGTCCCTGGAGCATGTGTCCCCTCCCCGGAGAGGAGGAAGCCTGGACATGTCCCCTGAGCTGCCCCCTGGGGACCAGGGGTGACAGCGGCAGCTGAGAGGTGACACTGGGCCACGTGCCGGCAGACCGATCAGGTCACTTCAGCCGCCTGAGCCCCAGAGGGCTGGGACAAGGCTGCTCAGGCCTGTGCCCACCCTGGGGGCTGCAGAGTGATGTGAGACCAGCCCCTGGTGCCCAGGAGGCCTGGCCCAGGGACTCGGGCCCTGTCACCGCCCCTGCCCAGGCCCAGGCCGGGGCCGGAAAGAGGAAGGTGGGAAGAGGGGAGGGGAGGAAGGGTGAGGGGGACCCTCCGAGGCAGGGAGAGCCTTGCGGGAGGCCGGAGGGTGGGGGACAGGCCTGCCTGGCAGGGAGAGACCCACCGGGAGCCAGCCTGCTGGCGTGGTGGGGCTCAGGTGTTACCTGCTGAGTCTGCCATGGCCGGGGAGGGTTTGCACTGAGAAAGGTTGGCAACCAGACGCCAATATGTGCGTGTGCATGTGCATGTGCGCGTGTGTGCATGTGTGTGCACGTGTGTGTGTGTGCACCTGCACTCTGCCCTTGTTTTGCCGTGCCCCCCACCACAGGGGAGCAGTCCCCGAGGGCCACAGGCCATGTGTTTACCCCCCCAGACCATGCTCAGGGAACCGGGACCCTGCGACTGCTCACAGAGAGCCTGGGCCCCTCCCGGGCCGCACAGGCCTCTTCTGCAGGCGTGTTCCCACGCGGTCGCCGTGCTAAGGGCCGAGGGATGTATGGGGGTGAGGCGAAGCCGGGACATGCGGCCGGGGTGCCCGCACACAGGCAGGTGCCTGGCCTGGGCGGACAGAGCAGGGGAGGGAGGAGAGGGGTGAAGGCCGAGGGCTGGCGCCTTCCCTGCAGCCTCGTCTCGGCGCCAGACTCCAAGGAGTCCGCAGGTCCCGGGTCTGGGCCGGGCCTTCCGCGTGCCGCGGGGCCGTGTGTGCCCAGGCCGGAGGGCAGCGGCTCCTGTTGACGGGTCGTGAGCTCAGTGAGTCTGCTCATAACCTGTGCAGACTCCGGACTGTCTGGACACGCGTGGGCAGGGGCGTGCGGCCCACGGCCGCCTCCCCGGAGCCCGCAGCAGAGCCTGCCCCGGGGCCGGCGCTCGAGGAGCGCGTGCCCGGCAGATGGGTCCCGCCGGGGCCCCACCTCCCGCGCCCGCCCCTGCCGCCCCAGACGCCATCCGCTTCCTGAGTGCGTGAAAGAAAACGGAGGCAGGTGGAGGCGACTGCTTCACAGGGGACTTTATTTACTCTCGGGAGCAGCGTGCCGCGCCCACTCCCGACACCGCGCTCCGCAAAGCCGGCACTGCGCGCGGAACCAAGACCGCCTGGCACTGACGACACATCGAAAACATCCACTCTCTGCCCTTTTTTTTCCTTTTTTTTTTTTTTTGGTACAAAATGATACAAACAACAATACAAAATAGTTGTGCTGTTGACGGTTACAAAAAAAGTCGGAGCGTTCGTCTGACTGCGCGAAGCTCGGCGTTGCAGCGTGAACACATCGTACTCCAGTTTCTTTCCCGGAAACAGCCACGGTCATGCGGGCTGCTACACATTTTGTCCATTTTCAAAAAGAAACATGCAAAAGGAAAAAAAATCAGAATGGAGAAAGGAGAGAAAGGAAACGTGAGGCGCGCTCCAATTGTACACAGAGGCGGGTCCCGGGCGGCCGCCGCGTCCGCCTGCTGTGCACACCGCGCCCGGCCGCGGGCCTGCTCGCACCTTCCCGTGCTGTTCCCTCAGCGCCGGCGGAAACGGGAACTCCGTCTCCCCGACTTTTACCTTGGAGAGAACAGAGCTGTGGCCTCAACGGACTGTGTGTGTCGGCCGGATGCTCTCACTAGGGAAACTGAGGCATCTCTGAGCGCCTGCCCATCCATCGCCATGACGCTGATGCTTTGGCGGTGGGAGGCCTAGCGTTTTGGATGTGCTGAAACACACGAGAAAGAGAGACCCGCCCGGCCAGGAGTCGGGGCGCCCGGGCCCCAACAGGCGCCCGGCCCCAGGCTGGGGGCCGCCTGCGGTTCCTGCCACTCCGCCCTGCGGCGCAGTCCCGCCAGCGCAGGACGGAAATTCCCTAAAGAAGCTACGGCACGCTCTCGCCCTCTGCGCTGCGGGTCCCCTGATCGGTCATATCTACAAGCTACGGAGGAGGCGTGTTCGCCTAGCGAACGCTAACTCGGGTTCAGAGGTGACCTGGGTGGGTGGGGGAGCCCCAACTTCCTCTGGCCCCCCGGGGCTGGCGGGGGTGGGGGAGGGAAGCGGTCCAGCTGTCGGGCAGCAGGGACAGGCCTGGGAAGCCGGGGACATCCCTCCAGCCTGCGTGACTCAGGTAGAGTGCGAGGGGCTTGGCAGTGGCCGGCCTCGGGAGCGGAGGGCCGGGGGAGGCAGGTGCAGACATGGCACCTGGCTCTCCTGGGAGCCCAGGGCGGCCTCCGGATTTCAGAGGCAGGAGTCGCAGCCACACTGAGGACAACCCGCCCACACTCCTCAGGCTCAGAACTCGGACTGAAGGATGAACTTTCCAAAACAACAAAAACAGAAAATTCCAGCTCCCCTCCCCCGGCTCCACCCACCACAATCGCTCCCTGGCTGTGACGCCAGCATGTCCAGGGCTCAGGACATGATCGTTTGCATAGCACAGCTTAGCCGCGAGCCCGGTCCCCCTTGGCCTCTGGGGGCCCTGCTCCTTGGCTGCGTGCACAGGGGCACCCCACCCCGGGCAGCCATGGCGGGGGTTGGAGCAGCCAGAGAAGGAGCTCGTGACCCAGCTCGACCCGTGGAGGGGCACAGAGTGGGCGATGAGTTTGGTTTGGGGAGGGACCCTGACGTCCAGTAGGACATGCCACGAGACTGGCACACGCGTGTGTGCTTGGACCGAAGCAGTTTAGAGAAGGGGTGACCTTGGCAATGGGAAAGGCCAGAGGCCGAGGACAGCAACGGACTAGAGACCCCCGGCGGAGAACATGCTGCCCCTGCAGGTGCCCCGACCGCCCCGGCCCTCCGGGGCTCACCCTGACCCCCAGCAGCAGGTGTGGGTCTTGCTCCCGGGGTCCTCCCTGTCCTTTGTCAATGCTGAGACATCCCTCTCCCCAAGGGGGGCTCCGGGACCCCCACCCCCTTCCCTGGGCAGTGTGCTGTCCCCAGCCTGGGAGGGCCAGGAAGCTGACCACATGCACGGATTCCCCTCGAGGGGAGGGAGGCTGCTTCCCGCCCTGCCCTGGTGGCTGCACGCCCAGAACCGTGTCCTGGAGAGATGCACTAGGCGTATGGCCTCGTCCGTGTGCAGAGGTGGCTGGAGCTGCCCCAGGAGATCCCTGGACACAGCCCATTTTGCTGTCCTCCCCAGTCTGGCTTGAGAGTCCAACGCCCACAGAAAGAGCAAGGACAGCTCTGAGGGCCAACGGCAGCCCCGTCCCTGGGGGCTGCTCGCGGCTGGCAGGGGTCCAAAGGAAGGGAGTTGGCGGTTTCCGGTGTGCGGAGCCCAGAGGCAGCTCGGGGACGGGCGGGGGTCTCTTGCCAGCCCTCTGGAGCAGACGGAGCCACGGGCAGGCGCACAGGTCCATGCGGGGTTTGGTGGGGGGCCGGGGGCTGCCGGATGCCCTGCAGGCCCGAGAGCCTGGCCGTCGTCTCCAGCCGGAAAGGGGTCAGCAACCCCACATGGGCGTGGCCCCAGGGTGGCCAGAGGTGTGGAAAGTGGACAGGGGTTTGGACTGATGCGTGTTCTGGGGGCCTTTGATGGGGTCCCCTGGAGTCCAGTGTCAGGGGGTGCAGGTTTGAGCTGTGACTTCTTGGGACACCATGCTCTCCTGGCTGGCCGATGGCCCTGATGGGGCCGTGGCTGGCTAGGGGGCCCGAGGGCAGAGATGGGAAGGTAGAGTGGGGTCCTTGGACCCCGTCCGCCCCAGCTGTTCACAGCATCTGGGAATGGGGGAGGAGCGGCCACAAACGGGGATGACAGCCAAATCCGGGGTCCTTGGGCCGTCAGGGCTTGGCCAGCCCCAGGGGACCTTTCTGCTGCGGGGGCCGAAAGCTGAGCCTGGCCCCGGCTGGCTTGGGGACCCCTGGGGGGCCCAGGGCACCCTGACTGTGCACAGCAAAGGCTGCTGGGATTTGGACCCCAAACTTGTTTGTTCAAGTGAGTCACCCACTTTCTTTTTCTTAAGAAAAGACCAATTAAAAAAAGAAATAAAGACAATAAAGAAAGACACATTCTCCCCCATCCCCTAGCTGATGCCTTCCGGGCCGGGCTGGGCCGGGTGGCTGGAGGCGCACCTGCCTGTCTGCTCTGGTCACTCCTGAGTTTGGGGGGATCTGACGCGTGTACCAAAAGGCACTTTCATTTTTTTTTTTTTTTTAAAAACAGTGCTTCTGCTCTAGGAAATTCAAGTTAAGACAGGGTGCCTCTCGCGCTCCTGCGGTGACGGGCGGCTACTGAGTGGGCAGCGCTGGCGTGCGGCGCCGGGGGTGAGTGCTCATGCTAGACGGCGCGGGGCAGGGGCGGGGCCCCGACACCACCAAGGACAGTCTCGGGGGAGGCGCCCGGCCTCTGCGCAGTCCCGCTCCTCCCGTGCGGCTCTCCTCTCGCCCGAGACGCGGGGCGGGCGGGCTAATCCTCGTCGCCGCCTCCGTACATGTCCGCCAGCTTCTTGAAGCGGGGCCCCCAGTCGTTGAGGTAATCGTAGTCCTGGTCCCCGGAGCTGGACGAGTCCAGGGAGCTGACGGAGCCCGCGGTGGAGCCGCTGCCTTCGTAGTCGAAGACCAGCAGCGAGTCGTAGGGCGGCGCCGTGGGGTCGTTGTCCGCCGCCCGCAGCCCCTGGGGTCAGGGAGACGCGGGTCAGGCGGGGGCTGCGCCGCCTCCGCCCCAGGGGCCGGACCCAGGGCAGGGTGGGAGCCCGGGCAGCGAGACGGGGTTACGGGGCCTGGCACCCAGTAGGTGCTGGGGAAGCGCGCTCCCGTTTCACCCAAGGGCCGTCGCAGAACGGAGCAGGGAAGCGTGTTATGAAAACGGGGGCTGGGCCACCTAGCACTCTGGGAGGCCGAGGTGGGCGGATCGCTCAAGGCCAGGAGTTTGAGACCAGCCTGAGCAAGAGCGAGACCCCGTCTCTACTAAAAGTAGAAAGAAATTATTGACCAACTAAAAATATATAGAAAAAAATTAGCCGGGCATGGTGGCGCATGCCTGTAGTCCCAGCTACTTGAGAGGCTGAGATAGGAGGATCACTTAAGCCAGGAGATTGAAGTTACTGTGAGTGAGGCTGATGCCATGGCACTCACTCTAGCCTGGGCAACAGAGTGAGACTCTGTCTCAAAAAACAAGGAAAAAAAACAGAAAATGGGGGCTGGCGGGCCCGTGGCGCGCGCTGCAGACTCTGCAGACGGGGGCTCAGAGGCTGCTCACTGGGTCTTTGGCACCGAGTGGCCTCCAACCCCCCCAGGTCAGGCTGGGCACGTGCTTAGGTGGCAGCTCCGGAGGGAGGTCACCTCTGGACTGGCTCCCACCTGCTGTGTCCGGCTGCACGGGTGGGAGGGGTTGGGCCAGGCCTGCCTGAGGCCAGGTGTCCCCGGGCTGCTCCTGCCTGGCACAGGGGTGAGTGGAGACGGGGGAGGGGGTGGGGGACGTGCCCACGGCAGTGGGCCAGGGCTGCAGACGGGTCGCGAGGGGCTCCTTGCACCCTAGTGCTGCACCCCAGCTGCCTCCACGGCCCCTCCTCCTAACAGCTGCTCCTACGGAAGTTGCCTAAGTTCTCAGGAGGCACCTGCTGTGCCCAGCCCTGGGTGCCAGTGCCCGCCCTGCCTGGAGGTGGGACTCTTAGCCCCTGGATGGAGGAGGACGCAGAGGCAGGAACTTGCCCAGGGCCACACAGCTGGTGTGGCAGGGCCAGCCCTGAGCCCGGTCCCCGTCCCCACCCTTATGCACCGCTCCGGCCTGTGGGTGTGTGTGCATGGGGTTTCATCTCAGGAAGGGACACCCCACTCGGGCCCCCCTCGGCCGGGCACCCACCTCATTGATGAAGTCGCCGATGTCACCCGGGTGGGGCACCACAGGCCGGGCTGGGTACTGGGGCTCGGCGCCCACTGGCCGCTCGTCCACCCGCCGCACGCCGGGCGCCTTGCTCAGCACGTGCTCCATGGCCTCCGGCTGCTGCAGCTGGCTGAGGTCGTAGTCCTGGGGGGCAAGCACAGTCAGGGGAGGCTGGACGGCCGGTGGGGTGTCAGGGCGGGGGGTCAGGGGTTACAGGCACAGGCGGCAGAGTGCCGTGCCCTCGTCCTGTTCTGTGCCCCGGGCCCTGGGGGCACCTGCCGTCCCGTTTGGTCACCACTCTGCCCCTCCCTCGATGCTGCGCCAGGTGAGGTCTGTGCGGGCTGCCCTCGGTGGCCTGGCGCTCCAGGTGACCCCACTGCCAGGCTGCTCAGTGACAGCGCCCACCCCACGTGCTCAGACGAGAGGGGCCGCCTGCTCCGTACCCCTTCCCCCGTGCCCTTTGTGGCCAGGACGTGGAGGGGCCTGAGCCGCCGTGGGGTTCGGTACTTGCCCCGCGTCCCCCAACCCCCAACCGGGCGACTCCCTGAGTCCGCCCTCCTGGGCGCGGTCCCTGTCCCTGGCACTGGGCGGCCTCCACACACGGGAGTGTCACGCCGAGAAAAAGGCCGACTGTCTGCGGTTAACGCGAGTGGGGAGGCCTGGGCCGCGGTCCCACCTGGTCCTCCTCGCCGCCGCCTTCCTCGTCGTACTTGAGGATGTTGTCGCGCACGTCGTCCTCGGGGTCGATAAGCAGCTGCTTGGTGTGGCGCTCCTTCTCCCGCCGCTTCATCCACACGACGAACAGCAGGACCATGGCTGCGGGAGGGCGCCGTGAGCAGAGTGTGCCCGTGTGCGTGTGCTCGCCTCTGTGTGTCCGTGTGGGCATGCTTGTGCAGGCATGCAATGCATGCATACAAGTATGACTGTGGGCATGCACATGTGCATGCCTGTGCCCATGTGAACATGCATACGCATGCATGCACGTTCCATTCATGTCTGTGTAAGCATGTATCTATACATGCACATGTATGAATGTATGTGTGTGTGTGAGCGCTTGGATCTGTGTGTATGGTGTGTGCACTGTATTCATGTGTGTATATGTGCAAATACATGTGTCTGCACAGCTCTGTGTGTGCATGTCTCTGTGTGTCTTCATATGTACTTCATGTGTAGGTGTATGCTTTCTCATGTACAGGTGTGGATGTGAACCAGGGCATGCATTTGTACGTGTGCACAGTGCGTGTGTGGCATGTGGTGCACACCCGTGTGCCCAGGAATATGCCTGTGTGCGGTTTCCGAGGCAGAGCTGGCCGGGCTCACGCCCTCCCTGCCACTGCTGCCTGGGCACTGGGGGAGTATTTCGGGTGTTTATCTACTTATTTCCCTCCTGCACCCCACTGGAGGAGGGGGCTGGCTCGGCGCACACCTTGCTGTGTGGGTGGGAGGACCCCGGGCTGAGGGGCCCACCCGGAAGTCCTCCTGATGTCACGCCTGCCCTAGTGGGAGGTGAGGGCTTTGGCGGGGGAGGTGACAGTGAGGACTTCCGGGCAGGGATCACAGCGGGCCAGACAGGGATTGCCCCCACGTTGGAGGAGGCTCTGCCTGGGAGGGGCTGGGGAAGGGGGGACCCCAGAGGGGTTTCCAAGCAACCTGAGGGGTCCTGCTCCCAGGGGGCCCCTGGGGAGGGTCCGTGCAGGCTGCAGGGGACAGGCGGGCAGCCCTGCCCAGCACTGAGGGGTGAGTGGGCTGTAGACTTTCCCCAAAACCCAAAGGACCCGGGCGTAGGCTCAGAAGTTCTGGTGGAAACTGAAGAGAGGCCACGCCCCTCACCCCATGCTTGTGGGTGGGGGGTCCCCTGCCCACCCCGAATTGGCCCCTCCCTGCCCTTTGGTCTGTGCCTGGCCCTGCTCCCCGGACGCTCTTTCTGGGGCGCCTCTGCTCCCAGGAAGGCCCTGGGACTGCCTTGCTCTGCTCCACGCTCTGCACGGGCTCAGGAGGGTGACGCTGCCCGCGCCCCCGTGAACGCTGGCACTCGTCACTCCACCGCCCCTCCCCCACCCCACGCCGCTGGTGTGGAGCCCTCGGCCCAGAAGTGCCAGGCACAGCAGAGGGTGAACCCGGAGTGGGGTGACCCAGGCCGGAGAACAGGCCTTTGGAGCGTGCCTGGGCGTCGTGACAAGGACCCCACTCAGGGTGTGACCAGCAGCCTCTCCTGCACATGCAGAAGGCCAAAGGTGTGGCCAGGGGACCCCAGTTGTGCAGAGAGGGCCCTGCAGACCCAGCGGAAGGAGCCCACCGACACTGTGAGCCGCTGAGCGAGAACCTAGAGCCCTGTCTTAGCTGGACACTTGCATGAGATGGAGAGGCGGCCAGGGAGGCCAGCTCCGAGCTCCCAGCTCCCAGTTCCCAGCTCCGAGCTCCCAGCTCCCAGCTCCCAGTTCCCAGCTCCGAGCTCCCAGCTCCCAGCTCCCAGGTCCCAGCTCCGAGCTCCCAGCTCCCAGCTCCCAGCTCCCAG